AGCCAGACAGCCTTAATGGCGTCAGCCAAGCGAGTTGATCAATGCTCAGCTGCTTGTTGCGTGCATCATTTATTCTAACATGATATTGTTTTTTTTCTTCAACGAAGTTAACTACTCACTCACTTTGTATCGCATTCTCACAATTTCGTTACATCTACCATCAAGGCTAGGCAAATCGTGGCGGGTTACGTAGCAACAGAAAAACTCAAATTCAAACGGAAACGTAGAGAACATAGAAACGTTAACGAACATAAAAATATAATAATTAACAAAATACAACCGAAAACGAAAATCAATCATTAATCAGTTGAGGTGGCATAGATCAACTAACATGGGCCAACTACTCGGATCCCTCCCAGTTTTACTCTGTTCACTTTCACCATCATCAGTTACATTTGTTCTGGTATCTAATTATCTCTCAAATTAGAAAATCATACTACAGCCAGGCAACGCAATATACGTCCTAGGCACGTCTAAGCTGATTATTCTTCGTTTCATTTCTCTACACGCACACACGACAAGACAAAAATCATGAATTTCATAAGGAATAAAACGTCTGTAGCTTGGCCCTTAGCAGTTCCTCCGCTCGTAAAAAAACCGCGGAAAGTAGTTTAGTACCGTTCTTGTCAACTCTAACGCTGTTAACGCTATTTTGTAAACAATTAGTCACTCTCCAACAGCAGTTCCCTAGTTTATACTGTATCCGTACGTGAGCATAGGTTGAGCGTACGCCTGATCCAGATTGATTTCCATTTATTTACATGAGACTGCGGGGACGAGAATATTTACTGATTGTAAATATTTAGGAGGCAAGAGGTCGGAAATGCCACAATTTACTGTGGCAAATGTTTGACGACACGAAAACTGCATTTATGGACACATATAACTGTAGAGTCACACTGTCTTGAGAAGGTAAACTCTATTGATCTGCATAATAGAAGAGTTCGTAAAGTCAAATTATGTGATATCGTATTATTTTAAGATCAAAAAGCGAGCGATACACAGGGCAAATAACTCTGTGTATGGTCCCCCCCCCTTGCGGGTATCTCACATGACATTTGGCGAAAAAAAAAGCCTTAAAGGACGGTCGGCCTCAATCAGATGATTTCAGATCTAAACGTGTGAATGAAAGCGTTTGGTGGACTATGGTCAAGGTCGCCTAAAGAAATCATTAAGTAAAGACGTAACATCCTTGAGCGCTAAAGAAATGACCAGTACAATAAATCTAGACGTGTTCCAAAGATCTAATCGATCCACAATGTAAACATTGAACTCTAGGTATATGAAAATGTCTTGTATACTATGTTCATACAGATCACCATTTCATGTACGAACGCTGTTATATAATTAAGAACCTTTAGCAAATTACGCCAAAATACAAATACCCAGTGGGCAGAAATCAAGAAAAGGTTTACACAACCAGTACAGTCGTTGTGTAGCTCGAGTCTGCGGTAAATGCCATGTTCTGGAAGGCTAATAAAGATCCCAGTTTTTTTTTTATCTCTGTGTGTATGCATGACTGTGTCTCCCTAGTTAATAGTAGCATCTTTATAGTCGATTTGTGTTTAATAGGTAAGTCTTGTGGGGTATAAACGTGCTGGGTACAAGATAGGTGGTTTGGTTTGCGGCAAGGTGGACCGGGAAAAAGGGAAATGCGGGCAAACAAAAATTGTTTTTTCAATCAAAAGTTCTTGTATTCACGACCAATAGCTGAAGTAAACAAAATGGCGTCTAAGGCTGGTTTATCTGTTGTTGTGTGGTCACTTTGATGCAACCGCAATGATGAGGGATGAGCAGGTAATTCAGATGAATTGAAAAAAGATGGCGCTAGGGAGTATTCTAAGGTTCCTCCTGGCGGGAAGGCGATTGTACAAAGAATACATTTTACACCCGGACTGATCGCTCAGTCCAGCAGATTCAGTTTATCAGTTCCACAGACGCCGAGGTCAAATTGCGGTTTGACCATATTCATAGAAGTGGTGGCGCAAAAAATCCGAGGTAGACCTTCTTCTTTTGCTTACCTTCGCGCGTACAGTCACACAACACAACAACCAGACAACAGCAACACATGGCCAACGTGAACGGGACGCCGGACACTGACAAAGCCGTCCAGAACTTTACGTTCCTTTTTTGTCCAGGCCGTAAAAGACTGAACCGTTAGTTTCGGTCGATGCGCAGGCGTACAGTCGTTGTTTGTTGCGGGTGACTGCCCGCTTTCTTCCTATTTGCTTTTTGGTTGGTTGAAAGCAACGGTTACGGTGGCACTGGTAGACTATTACTTGCAATATTCGACGTGACTTTCTGTAGGGTTGCCTTCTATATCTGTGCCGTTTGCCTGTCGTTGCTATTTCTTGTAGTATCTAGCCGTAGGAGCTTTCACTAGAGACGTGAAAGCTGACTAGCAACACACCAGTATAGATATGGGCATAAACGATAGATACACGCTAGTCGACCGAGAGCTGAGCGTGCACGGCAATCTCAGTGGGCCGTTCGGTGTTGAAGCAGCTAGTCACTCATAGGCTCGCAGGCAGGCCCCCTGCAAATGATTAGTACCCGCTAAAGCAGGCTGCATTGACTTCGACTTCCTTCCTCAAGCCGAATACGAATAAACGAGCCCACAACGATTAATAGCGGCTACGTGGTCAACTAACAACAGCTCTCAGCCGTTGTTTCTCAACGGGAGAAACCCGGCGCCTTGCCTCCTTTCCTGTTAGCCACTCCGACTGGCATAGCTTAGCATCGAGCATGAGATTAGAACGGAGTTCACCGAAGAGATTGGCAGAGAGCGGAAAGCCGCTAGAACGTCAACTGACAAATCATTACAATAAAAAGTAGCCATAGTAGGCAAACAACGCGCTGATCGGACGCATGGATAGACGAATGTACTAACAGACGCGTGGACGAACCGAGAAACTGACAAACCGGTAAACAAATATACGCACACGTACGCTACATATATGGACGGTGCGCGTAAACGGTGCGGCTGAATTGGGGCTGAAGCGGAAAGAATCTCATGCAGATTCATGTGGCATCATGGCGATCAGGCCAAAATTGCTGACGGATGCCATTGAGCCACACAGCCGTTGTCGGAGAGCGGACTACTCTCTAAGAATTATGCTAAAGAGAGACTAAAATGAGACGTACTGAAAACACTTTGACCATTAGATGATGTAGATGGGGCTCTAATCAATAGCCGTTCTAAGACCATCCAGAACTTATGTGTAAATTTTTCGTATCGCAAGTACTTCCACAGGTCACGCTAGATTGCCAGCGGAGTAAGCCATATTGAGTCCAGTGAATCAAGCGAGTTCGTATAAGTAAATGCTAGTTGTGTAGCCGTCCTCAAATATAGCCTTCCTTCATGGGTGCTCACACGAAGCTCTACGGCCTACAATAACATAAGGCAACACAGATCGGTTACACTACGAGCGTAACAGCGCGGCCACCTAATAAAATCGATACCTAAGTGATTTTCTTTGACCATATCAGAAATTCTGCTTCAGATCGGGTTATGATAAAATAAGTATAGTCTATATGTATTTTAGAACGTCATTAGCTTCTTAACGTGCAGTTAGCGCCTTAGCGGCCGTACATGACGACACATGGACCGAATGGACCGAAACACGCGCCAAGAACATGATCACTGTTTCGTCTTAAACCCTTTGCGGTAGCCATATTTGAAATCGAAATCGCCAACGCTCAACATCCAATTGAACTGATAATGTTGGCAATATCTATAATATAGGACACAGCAGTCAATCAACGTTATGAGTAACGTCTCGAATCACCTAGCGAGAGATTACATCACACTCGTCGTCGGGCCGCAGCAGCGTCAGGCAGCTGTTGTCATTGAGATCGAACGAACGAACGAGTGAATGAACGCGCGAGCGAGAGGTAGAGGGCAAGAGATAGAGGGCAAAACCGATTATTACTGATATGATAATACAATAATAACAAACTGAAAGAAGATCGCTTCATCAATCATTCGGCTCCAGAACAGAAGTTCTGAGAACGAACGTCAAAGCGAAAACACAAAGAACTGAAAGGCTTTTAAAAATGTTGTCGAGATGAGCAGCGCCGAAACGAAGAGGATAGGACTGCGCAAGTTATTTCAAAGTTCTGAGTCCAAGTTAGAATAGAATTAAGTTTAAGAGATAAAACCAAACATTGAAGAAGAAAGATTATAAAAGTACTGAGATGAAATGCTCCAGTTTGTTGAAGGCTTTCAAATTTCGTTAGTAGATCCTCTTCGACGCCTGCTTCATTGCTCGACAGCGATAACAACAATAATAATAATAATACTAATTCCAACAACGATAAGACGAACTAGAGAGAAAGTTGTTGCCAAGTCTTCCGCCAGATGGCACCGTGTCCGCCTCACGGCGTGATATCACCATCCGTAACATCTTCATCAACAATTCAATCAATCACCGCTATCAATCATATTATTATCATGTTCATCATCATCATCATCATCATCATCATCATTATTATTAACAACAGCATGCAGTACGTGCAACGAAATTTGTCGCACGTGTGGCGTTCCGGACGTGTTTATCGCCTTTTTCATGAGTACATATATATCTACATATATGTAAATAGGGATCGGGAAGAGAGATCAACAAGGGTTTTTATGGTCGCTGATTTCACCACTGGTTGCTGAGTGGTATATATTTGAATTCGGTGAAATATTTTTAAAAAGTGGACTTCCTTTTGAAGATTCGTTTCTATTAAGTTAGGGAGCGAAAAAACTAGGTTTTCCACTGTCGATGCGACATGATTCAAAGGGGGATAGGTATTTAAGATATGTACTATTTCGTGCTCAGCATATACGTTGAATTCTATGTATGGCTCTATGTATCGTATATGCGTCTAAGCTTATTTGATTTGATTTGTAATGAGTATTACTAGGGCACTTGGTAATGGCGTGGTGATGCTAAAGTTAGGAAGTCAGCCTATTATTATACCATTTGATTCTGCTCCCTTGATCATTCACTCACCTATATATGGTGTGTGGGTGGTTGTTGTGTGGATGATGAGCGTGGGGATCTTGCTGTGCGGCGCTGTTGTTGTTGTTGCCTGCGGGGGCAGTGCTGATCGCAGCGCTGTTTGTGAGAGTGGTCGTTACGCCGGCGCCGGCTACCGCTGCTGTTACCGCTGCAGGGGTACCGCCACCTGTCGCCGACGAACTCGCGACAATCGATACGGCCAAAGTAGGTACCGAGGAAACGATTGCGCCACCACCACCTGCTCCTGGTGCCGCCGTGGACACTGTAACGGCGACCGGGTGGGGCTGGGGGTGACCCGGGTGGCTCGGGTGATTCTGATTGTGGTCGAGAGCGTCCTCGTCAAGGGGTTCCGCTTTAGGCTGAACCACGTGCACGATCGAGCCGCCAACGGTTGTTGTGTTTGTGGCTCCCGATGTGACACCGCCGCCTGCTGCTGCTGCTGCACCTGCTGTTGTTGTTGTCGCAGTTGCCGTCGAATTGTTGTGTGTAAACAGTAGGGTGCCAGCAGCAACTGTGGCGACAACCCCGCCCCCCGATCCCACCGCGTGTCCTTGTTGCTGTTGCTGCTGCTGCTCGAACCCTGTTACCAAAAGAGAGCGTGAGCAGACGATTACGGATCGGTGGAACGACCAGCCGATATGAAGCGACGCAAAGTGACGACAACAAGTCCAAGCGTAAGCCCGGAAGACACAGGATGATCAGGGTTGGTGACAATCGATAACGGTGAAGAGTCGGCGGGGACAAACAGCAGGAGAAAGTAGAAACGAAACGAGCAGATAGAGAGTGATGTTTTAAGAAATTGTAACCGAACATGTATGTTCACCTATGACTCGAGTGAGTTTTTATGCCTTGGTGTTGCAAAAAAAAATTGCAAATATAATATTATAAATAGATTATCCAGTAGATTTGTCATAATTGAGTATACGAATAAACATACAGTGTTATATATTTATACATATATGGATGTATATATACTGGATATAGTATAAAAAATGTATCTGGAACATATGAAACTATATGCATGTATGTGTGCTATACCTAATGAAAATAATAATAATAGTAACAATGCAAGCATGCAAGATAACGGGACCTGGATAACACAAGAAGTATTAAATTAAATAGCCACAATAAACGAAAATAAAAAGGCAACGCACAACCAACTTTGTTGCTGTCACAGTCGTCATTGCAGTAACAAAAAAAAAAAAAAAAAAACGATCTCTTTTAAAGATAACAAAAGACTGACGCCCGTTAAATCAAATCACAAATACTAGCAAATCTAGATTCAATCCGAAGGTACCTTCTAAAAGTCCAACTAACCCAACGGGTTAAATTGTGAACGAGTGACAATTATTACTGTTATTATGATTGAAATTACAATCAAACGTAAACTGAGGTCGTGCCATGCCAAAAGAAAAATGCCAAAAAAAAACAATTTGTTTTTCGATATTGGCTTGACCCCTTACAGTGGATGCTATGTTGCCCCAGCCCGGATCGCCATTTTGGCGAGGCCGCGTGTTCACTTTAGGGCACAATTTTGCGGTTCACTTCGGTGCTCTGTTAGTCACCGTCTGGAAGAGAACAGAAAGGTCCAAAACGATTCAGGTAATCAATCAGTTAGTTAATAAACTAAACCTAAACTATGAACACTTCAGTTTGATAAAAAAAAAAAGGTCGTACTGCAGTGGGTACCTATGTTTATTGGGAGTGATTGACTGTATCTATGTATAGTACTAATGAACTAGGTCACCGGCTCGATTCAACATAGCAAAGTAACAATAGATATCTTCCACAAGAACAATTCTAGGTCATCAGTTGTGGAAGCAGATCGATAACAATCACTGCTCATTTACATCCTGTACAGCCGCATGACTCGAAACTTATGTGCATATAGCATATTTATGAATTTTACCTGTATCAATATTTTCCGAACAAGCCATCAGATTTATATTGGACCACTTGAGGTTGAAAGAGATCTCTGTTAGTTCTTATTTGAATGAGCTAACTAGAGATTGGTGATTATTTTTTAGCTGCTACCACCAACGCCATGTAGAACTATCCGAATGTATCATATGACAGTAACACTTGCATACATACATATAGTAACATTTGTATTATGGATTAGATAAGTGTCGTGGATGGCTGCGATAATAAGACAAACAATTTTTTTTTTGTTATTAAGGTGTAAAGTCAATAAAACGAATACTTCGTGTTAAACAAGGATTATAAGATATAATATATGATTTGGAAACTCGTCAAAAGACAGATACAGGAAAAGCACGTAGAGCAGACTTGTCCTTTCTTTCTTTTTTATGCTCCGCTTCCATCTTTCCGCTTTCGTTCGTGCGCCAGTCTCTGCCCTAATTTCCCGATAGGAGAAATCTAGTTCGGCGTCAGTTCTCCCGCCTAAGTGGGTAAATCCCCCTTCCGTTCGATTTTCTTCCACAGGCTGCTCCATAATAACATCAAACCAACAATACCGATGGTGTAAAAATCAACATGAGTAATAACAGCATACGTTGACTGTCGTCCCTCCCTTCCCCCATCCCCTTCCCCCTAATTCTTCTTCCCTTCAGTCGGTCATGTACTCCCCCAAGTAGCCTTTTCCCTTCTTGCTGCTGTTGCAACAAAAGCTAGACCCCTTTACCGCGATGGGATCCCCTTCCCAATCAGGGAAGGATCACGATCCGTTCCTATCGTTCCTATGGCACGATTTTGTCGCTTTCTGACAAACCTCTCCATTTAGTGAGTGTTGGTGCTGCTGTCGTTGAAGGTGTTAGTATTTGTGATGGCGGTAACGGCCAATAAGGCGGTGCAGGTTCGGCCCGCGTTATTCGCCTCTCTCCAACAATTCGCCCCTTCTCCGTACCCTTCTCAGCAGCAGCTGTCGACTGTCGTTGCTTCGTTCGCCCACTCATGCACTTACTAGCTAGCTAGTAAGTCAGCTTGCTGGCTTACCTGCTATATGAGTAGCGACGAGTTCAGATACTATAGGCTTTGATTCCGCTCCTTCCGTCGAAGGAGGACCGAGCTACTATCGGCTGGTCCTTTTCTAGAATTACTCTTCTTTTCCGTAAGCGCTCTTCGTTCGAGGGACTTAAAGCACCATCGCCACCATCTCCTCCACCAGGTAAACAGATCCAGGACGGAATCAGTCTCCGAAGTAGATTTTGCGCTGCAACATACGCTCTCAACCCTCTATAACGAGTCAGCTATTTTCTACTGTATAAGGACATAATACCTGGTCGTAGATGTTCGCGACCATTTTACTAGTATGTTTTCATAAAAAAACATTATCCCCATGTTTCGCTGTTCTCCTTTAAGCCCAAGGAATTTTTCGTTGTCCAACTTCCAGTACCGAAAATAGTTCATCAGGGCTCTCTGCCACAACGACTTTTGCTTTGCTCAGCCCTGTCTACTGTAGTACTCTATTTAGTGAGTCGTCGCTTGCAAGCCGGTTACTGCGAGTGCCTGAATTTGTACGATCGCTGGCAAATGACTGTACTCGGACAGGACGCGCGGGCTGCTCATAAGTGGCTACTCATGTGGTATAGCAGCAAAAGCGGTGCTAGTAGCACGCCACAAATGGTATTAGCGAGCAAAGCCAATGACCTCGTATGGCATCAAACAGAGGTCCTCCTCTGTAACAAGAGCCCCCTCCTCTATGATCTACCCTCGGCCTCAGCCATTTACCCTCCTCTTCAGCACATGCATTTATCTTTACCCTTTTCGCCCCACGAGGGCCGCTCCACGTGTTACTACTCTTCATTCAGACAGACACTTGCCGAAATGGACGACGCATTGATCCACGAAAATCAAAAGAAAAAGCCTACTGAACGACATATAACTAATGGCCCAGTACGTATCAGCAGCGAGAGTAGTCGTAATGAGCTGCGAGTTGAACTACGCTGGATTAATCCTACAATGCTTGCAGACCACAGAGCAGTGACAGTAAATGCCAATAGAGCACAGCGCAACACAACAAAGCCATTCGAATACCGCCTGAAGGTGCTGATGGTAGACCTCACTAGCCTAATCGTCACCACCATCATTTTGTCATTGGTAGAATGCGGAATGACGGTTTTTCCTGCTGTGATGGATAAAGCGGTCTCATATCAGCCAGCAGTGCAGCATAAGGAGCAGAGAACCAACAGGTCGGCAGACGAACGACAGTGGACATCGCTGCTGTCGCTCCCTCGTTCCTGTCTGCTAAGCTATGAATGAAGGCCGCAAATGCTAAGACATAGCTCCAAACATCATTGTACCGTACGACCACACACCTGATATTAACCACTGCCAATACTTAAATACAATTGCTAGTTGTCGGAAGCCTTGTTGCAACAAAATACGACTAATCAACACGGTAGTATTTTCGTTTCATAACGCCGTGTTCTCGTAGCTTTTTATTATCAGCATTTTTTGGTCTGAAAAAATCGAATTACGGCATCGTTGATTTCTTACACCCTTCGCGCCAACGGCAACGTTAGACCCTTTATATTTGTTTTACCTAGCGCCTATTATGTATGGATTTATCTACATTCGACCTTTATTCATTGCGAACCCACGTATGTGTGCGGTACCGTTGTTTTTGCGTTTAATGAAAGCGACATCTTAATTCATCAAAATAATTTGTTAAACATAATGTCGAACAGAAGTTCACCTAACTGTTACCCAAATCTAAAAGTGTGTCGAAATCGTGACCAGTTGACACAGCATATAGCGACACTCATTAATCATGTCAACGGGACGCAGATATTTTCATTTTTACGCTTGCGGATAGCGAATAATTATCATACTCCTTACAATTCCAAAAGCAAAGTATATATATATATATATATATATATAATAACATGACCGTGGAGCGCGCTTCAATCCACATAAGCCGTGTGGTGCATGACAAACAAACACGTTCATCGATCGCTCTTTTTGTGACTCTCCTCCTGTCTCTTTATTCATTTGCCCGTAAAAAAGCTACAGTCGCGCTCGTTAGACTGGTCCAGCAGGCAAATAGGCCACAACGAACTGGCCCTAAACGGTGTGACCGTAGAGTATCGTCACGTCTCCGCCGTCTCAAGTATCGGCTCCGTCTTTCAGTCGCTGCTGTTGCAGCTACGTTGATCAGTCGCCATTGGCCAATGCTCGCGTATCGTCCGAACGCGCCAATAGTTCTGATCGCGAGAACAGCAACGGAAATAGTGGCAGGACCCGCCGCCAAAACTGACGTTATGCAAATTCCCCGAAACGAACGGACAACATCTAGCTGGTCCACCCTCGATTTTGCCGAGACTGTTGATTCTGTTAATATTGCGCTGGTATCGACGACAACGCTGGTTTACTGAGCGGATGAGTTAACGCCTGCCTAACTGGCTTGCTTGCTCGTTCACTTCCTCACTTACTGCCTGACTGACAGAACGATTAGTTGCTATGCCTCTCAGGCTGCCTGTACACGTTTGTAGCCGCCGTTGTTCCTTCGTGCCGCCGCCGTCGCCACCGTCGCAACGAAGTGATTGTCGGCGCTGTTGTGTTATTATTTTAGCGCTATAGATGCAAAGCCACTGGTCATGGTATCCGCGGACCAGCGTC